GGGTCCATATGCTGGCCGACCATGTAGAAGAGAGGCCGGCGGGGTCCAGCGACTTGGACGGAGTGAGATGGGAGGTTCAGCCAAGTCGGAGCTCCTCCGAGGGCTGTGCCCACGCCTGGCCTCACCCCATCCTCATGCCTTCCCGTGGGAGGGCCCAGACTCACCTGTTCTCCCAACGGGAGAAACTGAGGCACACAGCAGCCAAGTGTCAGCCTCGGGTGCTGGATCCAGACCTGCCACTCACCCAGACCACTCAGGTGGGGACGTCCTGCATGACACTGACCACTGCTGAGTCCTGGGGGTGGACACAGCTGCCCAGATGGCCCCATGTGGCCACTCATCTCCCAGCAGGTAAACTGGGACTCCATGCCCTATGTGGGGCCCCACTGCCCAGGCCCCGGCTCGCTGGGTGAGGCTGGGTGGGCAGCACTGTGGACCCCGAGTCTACGTTCTGCCTGCTGCCATGGAGGACAGGCCAGGGACTGAGCAGAGGGTACCGTGCCCACCTCAGCTGGCCCACCCTGACACTCTCCTCCTCTTCTTGTGCCTCGGCCTACATCCTCCCCAGGAAGGGGCAGGACCCCTCTACCCCGGACTGCCTTCCTTCTAGGCTAGGTAGGGGCCCCTTCCTCCAGGAAGCCCTCCTGAGTCACCTCCTTGAGCCCATGCTCAGGCAGCTGTCTGCCTTACCTTCCCGTCCCACCCCCACATGCCCTCCCTCCTGTGCATGGGAGTATGGATTGCAGGCTCCTAGGGGCGGGGAGGGACCACTCCCCTCCACCTGAACCCCACTATCCCGGTGCTCCCCCTGGTGGGCCTGAGGTGTGAAACCCCTTCCTGTCTTCTCATCATTAAAATGTTTCGCAGGAGATGGAGCAGGGACAAGCCACCCGCTGGTACCTGGCAGATGACCGGCTCCCAGGCTCCTTGAGTTGTCATTCCTGAAGAGGGGGTGCAGTCCTGGGGGTCTGGGAAGGCAGATGGCTGTGCCCCCACTCCCCTGGCCCCCACTGTGCCACTTGGGCTGGTCACGGCCACCTGGGCTTCTTGGGAGGCTGAGCTGAGGTGACACGCTCCCTTCTTCCCATCTGGCAACTTCCCGGTGCTGGGGATGGAGGAGGGGTGGGCTGTGAGCCTCAGAAAGACGGCAGACCCCAATGCGGCAGACCCCAATGCAGCTGACCCCAATGCGGCAGACCCCAATGCGGCTGACCCCAATGCGGCAGACCCC